CAGCTTTTTCATTGCTGTGACCAAAAGACCTGACAAGAAAAATTAGAGGAGAAAAAGTTTATTTTGGGGCTCACAGTTTCAGCGGTCTCAGACCATAGATAGCGGGCTCCATTCCTTGGGGCCTGAAGTGAGACAGAACATAAAGGCTGAATAGTGTGGCAGAAGAAAGCAGGTCAGCCAGGAGGACATGGCCACCAAGAAGCAATAGAGAGACTCCACTCACCAGATATAAAATATATACTCCAACGGCACTCCCCCAGGGACACACCCTCTCCAGCCACACTCTACATTCAGTAGTCACAACTCAATTAATCCCTATCAGGGGATTAATTCACTGATAGGGTTAATGCTTTCATAACCCAATCATTTCATCTCTAAGCCTCATGCATTGTCTCACACATGAGCTTTTGGGGGTTACCTAATATCTAAACCATAACTAGATTTCTTACAACTTGGGTAAAAAACTTGGGTCTGAATTTTTCTACAGGCTTTCTCCATTGCTAATAAGTCCCCAAACTCCAGGATGCTGGTTAAAATAATCCTATTTCCCAAGCCTGGGACTTTATTTGGTGAGTCTCTAGAGCTGGTCAAATTAGGAACAGTTGCTGTGAGGGGTATCGAAGAAAAAAGAAGTTGAGTGTTTTACAAGTATGGGGCAACTCATAGGATTTGAACATACACACAAAGATTTCAAAAGAAATCTTGCAACAGGGTTTGTCTTATTACACTCAATTTATTTTCTATGCTGAGAGAGAGAGAGAGAGAGAGAGAGAAAGAGAGAGACAGACAGACACTCTTAAGAGATTTAGCAACCAAACTTGGTGTTTGGACTTTGTTAGGCTCCTAATATAAACAAAAAAACATTTAGGGGAAATTGGGTATTTTTGGACCGTGTATCAAAATTGGACCCGTATTAAAATAATTTGAGCTGGAAGTGGTGCTACCTGCCTATAATCCTAGCAACTTGGGAGGCTGAGGCAGTAGGACCACAAGTTTGAGGCCAGCCTCTGTAATGTAGGGAGGCCCTAAGTAACTTAGTGAGACTCTGTCTCAAAACAAAAAACAAATAGGGATAGAGATATGGCTCAGTGGTAAAGTACCTCTGGGTTCAATCCCTGGTACCAAAATGTAACAAAACCAAAATGATTTCACACACACACACACACACACACACACACACACATATGTGTGTGTGTGTGTGTATAAGTGTATATATTTGGGCAACTCTTTTATACCATGAAATATTTATTTTCAATAATAAATTTTACAGTAAGTTTATAGAACCAAAGCAATTTTATACATGAGATAACCTGAGGCACATATCAGCAAGCATTTACTGAGTAACTATTATGTGTCAGGCAGTATGCTGAATGATTTAGTGCAAAGTCCACCCTCTATGTCAAGTTTTACCCTGAAGAGTGTTTTGGAACCTAAATATCAATATAATTATGTTGATAAAGGAAAATGGGTTAAATGGTATATGGTTAGAAAACAACTTGGTAACCACAGGAAAAGATTTTATTCTCCACAAAAGTAGTATTAGGGGATGTAAATGGAAAGCAGGGGATTCTAGTACTGCAATATTAAACCAAAAACAATCTATTGTTTGAAAATTCTGAAATTTTCTTTCAGAAAAATTTGGGGGCCACTGTTATATCAGGTATAACTACAATTGGTGTGTGGTTAACATAGAATAAACACAAAGTTAGCTGAGTCTTGCAGAGATTGGGATAGGATGATGTCATTTTAATCTTTCCCAATCCTTACACAGAATGGTTTGAGATGATCTCATGACTCCATGAACAGGAAGAACCAGTTCCTTCAACATAACAGAAAACATTCTGGGGCTTCACGAATATAATCTCATTCAATCCTTGCAAAGCCTTATGAGCCAGGCAGCATTCTCCCCAGTTTCATATAGGGCATAAGACTGAAATAACATTCCCAAGGTCACTGGGAGGGTACAGGAAGTTTGTGGTTCAGGCCTGGGTCTTTTAAGCATCAGTACTTCCCATGACACTGGATTGTCTCTGAAGCAGTCAGACAGCACGGGGACCTCAGCAGTGACAGTGTTTCCACCTGGGCATAACACTTCTATTTTAAAATAAGCTATGCCTGACTACCCAGGAATAGGATTCTTTGTTTCCCAAATGATAAGACAAGTCAGCATTTTCTTTCTTTTTTAGTTACCAATGAATCACTGGGAAGAGATAAAGACAAACCTGGGCCAGTGACTATTAGGCAAGTACTGTTTCCTGGCTGCTTATTATGTGTAGCACTTATTATGGCATTCCATAGACTCTTCACCACCTCAATTATCTTCATTTTATAAATGACAAAACCAAGCAAAGAGAGGGGGCACAGTTTGCTCAAGGTTACAGATCCCCTAAGTGAGCTTGCTCACCCAGGACTCTCTGTCCCCATAGCCAGGACTCTTAGCACATAAAGCTTGTATTGTCCAGATTACACAAATAGATTGAGTGAAGGACTAGAAAGGCAACATAAAAAGCAAGGCAAGAGGAAGAAACAGGTGTTGCCACTGCAGATATCTATTACACAATGGGCACATATCAATACATGAAGAAGCTTTTGTGCCCTGGAAAAAGACTAGTTGTGCAACAAGGCATTTTGCTGTGTAAGAAATTCACCACTGCTTCTTATGAACAAAATGTAGGAACCAGAAACGCTTAGAGTATGGACTCTGAGAAAACCAACCCAAACTCTGATCATAAGTGAACCAGGCAACAAAACTGAATGAAGTAGGTAGGAAATAAGATAGGAAAACTACTGTGACCTTTAGATTAAGGCTCAGCTCATGGCAAACTATATGAAAGTGAAAAGAAAGTCCTAGAAACATACTGGAATAGAACACGTTAATTTATAATGCTCTGCAGACTACAAATCCCATTACGACAGAGGAGGATACATATTTAAAGAGTTTAAAGAAGGTTAAAAGGAGTCACAAGGTTATAGATAATGAGATGCTACATGAAGAAGGTTCTCATAGGATGTTGTCCACTGGTAGGAAGATCTAAGGATAACTGCAACCAATCCCATGAGCCTATGACTATTTTAAGAACATAAGAAAACATCCTTAAGACACCAACAGCTACCAAAATGAGTCTTATAAGACTCATCAATTTAGGTCAACACAAAATGCTGCATAGAATCAGAAATCAATTATTATGAGTCTCTTTTGTAAATTTATCATTAAAATCCATAAGTTCCCAATAAGGAACCAACTGAAAAAAAAATTTATCATTATATACAGGTTGAGTGTACCTTACTTGAAATGCTTGTGACTAGAAGTCTTTCAGATTTTATATTCTTTCAGTTTTAGAATATTTGCATATGATAATGAGGTATCTTGGAGATGAGATCCATTTCTAATCAAAAAATTCATCTGTTTCATATATACATTATACATATAGCCAGAAGGTAACTCTACCCCGTACTCTTCTTTGTGCACCTGTGTTTTGGCTTTAATTCACTGTATGTGGTCACATGTGGAATTTCTACTTGTGGCATCATGCTAGCACTCAAAAAGTTTTAGATCTTTTTTTGTGTGTGGTGCTAGGCATGTGCTCTTCCACTGAGCTTTACTCCTAGCCCTGGACTTTTGGATTAACCTGTACTTGAGAGAAGTGTTTGTCTACAAGCTCCATGATAACAAAGATGATGTCTCTTCTCTTATGAATACAGTCTCAGAGCCTAGCACAGTTCCTGGAACAAAATATTTGTTCAATGTTTCTGAGTGAATAAATGAACAGTCTACTTCTAGACCCAGAGACTATCTCTGCCCAAATCATGTGAATTTGGCATGGTACATCATTGCATTTGAGAACAAAGACACAGAACATTAAGGCAGAGCTTTCTCTTTATATCAGAAAATACTAGTATCTCCAGTTTCTGTGATGTTCTCCCAGTATGAATCATAAATGAAATACGTTCACTTCCACTTATCATACCTTATGAATTTAGGACACTGAGTTACCATTAATAATGGCCTTCATTATGCCTGGAAAAAAAAATCTTTCTTAGGAACTGTAATTTTGAAAATACTACAAATGAAAACAAAGATGCTGAGGTCAAGATCAAATACCTTCCACTAAGCAACTTAGTAAGACCTAAGCAACTTAGTAAGACCCTTTCTCAAAATAAAAAATAAAAAGAACTGGGGATGTGGCTCAATGGTTAAGTGTCCCTGGGATTCTGGGTTCAATCTCTGGTACTCAAAAAAAAAAAAAAATTAAAAGGGCTCAGTGGCAGAGCACCCCGGTATCAAAACAACCAAAAACAACAACAAAAACCCCACCATATATATAGAGAACTCCTTGCTATAGGCCCAAATAATGCCATTTTATGGCATAGTCTGTCAGGTTTTCATGTAGATTAACAGAGCAACTTTTCCACACTCATTTGTGTCATATCTATTAAACTTGGGAAAAGAGTTGAAACCTGAAAAAATGTTTTGATGAGTGGTTAAACTATGGCCTAGAACTATCAGTCACAGAATTTGGTTAAGTTCTGATGTAGGAATCTTACGTTACACTGTAGCTTCAGGTAAAACAAACCGCATTTGGACACTTGGAGAAACTCTGTAAAACATCTGTATCTTCACATATTTATTTTGCAGTACTGAGTATTGAACCCAGGGCCTTGTACATGCTAGGCAAGCACTCAACCACGGAGCTATACTTCTAGCCCACGCCTGTACCTTTATTATATGCAAACAACAGTTTATTCTCAAAAAGCAGTTTATTTAAGAAATAATGATTTCTGTTTATCAGAATCCTGAGAATGCTTATATTTTCTCTAAATACAAGGTGTAATTAGTTTTTATGAAAAATCAATAAAATTAAATTATTATATAGGACAGTTAATTACCCTTTTGCAGTGAATTTTACTTTTAAATAGTAAGGATTAATTATTTCTATTTTACTTATTTACTATACAAAATTTTAATATAAACATTGAAATTCCAGGATCATCACACTTACCTGTACGGCTTGTCAGAGTTATGAATTCGTCTGTGGTTTCTGACACCAACATATGTTGTACTTGTATAATCGCACACATCACATCTATACTGTTTCTGGGTTGAAGACTTACTCCCTAGACAAGGTATTTCAGAGTTTCAGAGATAGGTTTTAATAAGATTCAAATGACAGCATTTATATTCCGTTGTAAATGAATATTTATACACCAGAGAGTACTATTATTTTAATCAAGGTTTTCTTACTGTTTAACAAGTTTGAAGTGGCTTTATAGATTGTGCTGTACCTAGACTATCAGCAGATATAAACTGATCATCATCTGATCTGTACACATAGATAAGGCGGGTTTCTGCAAAACCTTATAAAAATTCTAAAGTATACTGAACTTGCTTCCAGCTGCCCTGCTGGCTGTATAGCAGTTATATTAATCAGAGATCCACTTTGATCAGAGAGGTGTTAAGTCTAATCAGCATTGGATACAGTATCCTAAGGAAACACTGGTTTGAAAATCAGCTGTAATTTATTATAATCCAATATTATAAACTTTAACCACAAGTCATATATAGCAAACTCAATATAAAAAGCCTAAGCTGGGTGTGGTGGCGCAAGCCTATAATCCCAGCTACTTGAGAGGCTAAGGCAGGAGAGGAATGAAAGTTTGGGGCTAGCCTGGACTATATAAGTTTTCTCACTCTGTGCATTTACAGGTTACAGCTAACTGTCAGCTATCAATTCAACATAAGAAGAAAAGCAACTACATATTTTGAGGGGCTCTATTAACATAGAATAATTACATTTAGTAAACTGACACTTTACAGGGACAAAGACTATAAATACGCAAGTTCTCTGAAATGCAGGAAATATGGATCCAATGAAAACAGACCATACTACTAACTCATTCTGCAACAATAGGGCTGAGTAATTTAAGTGTGAAAATACAAGTTGAATAACTTGATCAAATGAAACTGTTTCCTGAAGATATCTGATGCTTTATTTATTCACTGTCAGCATAAAATCCACAGGCTATTCCTACTCAGAATGCTTTATATTCAGGAACAAAGCAAGCATTTAAGCTCAAGAATCAGGCAGAGCAGGAAGAGCTATGTGTCCCTTGGCAGGAAGAAAGCTTAGGTAAAACACAAGTAACAGGGTGTAAGAGCAAACTTCGTGGTACAAAAGAAAACCTGCACTGAAATTTTAACAAAAAAAATCCTTATGTTACATTTAAACTTTTTAAAATTGAAATTTTCTTTGCCTAATAAATACTGCCAGGCAGAACAAAATATCCTAATTTCCTGGTATAAATCTATAACATTAATACATGTACTAATCATAATTATAATCTAAGTATTGCTCTTAATTGGTAGGTTAAAAACTTGGACTTGATTATAAATGGCACTGTTCCAAATATAGTTTAAAAAAAAACTTGAAAAAATGAAGTGTGAAATATTGGATAATGGTTTTGTGTGAAAAATATTACAGATCAATGACAACTAATAAAACTGACAGATGGAAAAACTTAATATAGCACAGAATGAGAGCTTGTGCTACTTCAAGCAAATGTTTCCAATGAAAAAGAAGATTGGATTTAAAGTTCAAAAACTTGGGCTTAGTCCTTGCTCTGCCACTTACTACCAGTATGATTATAGGTAAATTATTTCACCTCTTGAGGTCTCAAGTTTTCTTATCTACAAAACAGAAATACTAGAATCTCATGCATGGTTTAGTAAGTCATGTATTTTTCCTTCACCAAAGTATGTACATTTACTTGCTTCTCTGGGTAGTATCTGCCTTGTTACTGAGCTGTAGATTCTTTGAGGGTAAGGATCTACCCGTTTGGTTTGCACTGAATACCCATGGATTGGCAAATTGTGGGTTTCTGAGAAAGGTCAATTTAACTGAATTTCAAGAATAAACACCATGCCAAAGTGCTTTGCTTCACAGGGCCACTGATGGATTTTGAAGATATACCCATCAGTCCACTTCTGACTTCTTCACTGGGCTGGATTCCTCAAGGGCAAAGATGCCCGTCATTGTATATCCAGCACCTGGCACTACTCTTGAAGGGCATGCCATGCCTTCTGGATGAAGGAATGCCTGAAGTACAATTACACTGGACCTATGTGTTGAAAGTTATGTCCAGAGGTATCGGTGGTATAATAATGGGCAGACTGGGGATCAAAGGAGACATACATCTCCTCTCTTGTTTAATAAATTGACTAAGTGGTTAAAGAAGTTTTAACAAAATATGACTTGAAAAGTTGTTCTGTCATCTGTCAACCAGATTTCAAAATAGCTAATATTGAATTAATAAAGTACCTATCCAGGTGGAAGTATGCAGGAAGCTATTGGCAACCTGCACTGTTTTATACTACTATGACAAAGAATAGCCAAGGAAGTTTGCAGGGGTAGGAAAGAATGGTAACCAATTAAAAACTGATACATTTAACTCTAAGAAAAAGTATAACCCACAAAGAAAAGAAGTTGTGAGATGGAATATGGTGGGCAGATGCTAACACTGTAAAATTACGGTTATTTTAATTTTGAACCAATGTTTTATCTTTTTTTATTAAAATAGTGACTTTAATCTATGTACCCATTCAGATTTAAATTTTTGTTGCTGCAATACGTATTCTAGCACTGGTATTTAACTGCAGGTGACGCTACTGAGTCATTTCTTCATTAGGGATTTATGGTCCAATCATTTCTAAATGTTTTAATGTCTCCTTTATAGGCGATATGGAAACATAATGAATTAAAATAAAAGGAGGCATTTAGGGCTATTTTATAAAAAGGAAACAAAACTGTTTTAGCTCAGCCATCTATTGCAGAAACAGATGCCATGTCATAAACTCCTTTTGTTTTGGAGAGTTTTACAGGGATGACATCTGTTTGACAAGAGAATTTTGGTACTACAGTGGTGTCAAAATCAGTTCTTTCAGAAACATTGTAGAATCAGTTATGCTTTCTGGGGTATAATTTAATGAAACATTATGGTAAAACATTTCACTCTGCAGTTGTTTCTAACTTTAATTCTTAGGAAATCTAAACAGGAAAGTCACCCCAATATGTTTTATTTCCCATAAACACTATGTACCACACTCGAGACATTTAAAGTATATCAATTTAAGTGAGCGGATGCAAGGAAGTACAGCTTATTACACTTTATCCCTAATTCTCCGGATGTGGCATCCGCCTTTTCATGGAACTCTAATTAAATCTTTTGATTCTAATATTCCTATTACCAGAAACTTGGCTGACTGGTACCTAAGTAGTACATAACGTTTGTGTGTGTTTTTAAATAATGCAGATGAAATCTGGCAGTATACTTAGAGAAGAATAAGATCACAGCAGGAAGCCTCAGTTAAAGTTTGAGGTGGGGGCCTACCATCTGCAAAAGTTATGTTTGCTTTAGGTCAATTGGTGCTGGGAGAGGGAGAGGCTTCTTTCTATGCTGCAGTTTCTCTGGCTTGCTGATGTCACCTTCTGAGGGTCTATGCTATAGCTTGGCTTTTACTGGAGAGCATAAATTTTAATTGAAATATCTACCTGCACAGTTTAAGTTGAGTCCTTACTAATCTAGCCCTACTTACCCAGGATCTAGTAATAATTTACTGCATTTAGTGCATGAAATTTTCTTAGGAGCAAAGGTAACAATCACTCACATCCACAGTATAAAAACAGAGGATAATATATGCTTTAGTCCTGAAAATAACCTATGTGACAAGTACGGGTATTTTTTACTGCATATACTAGTCATTGCAGCCTGTATTTAAAAATGCACAGATACCTTCCTGAACACATTTTCCATCAGTTGTATCACTGGAAATTCTTGGCTCATTAGAAGCTGCTATTGACAAGGTGTCTGGAAGGCTGTGCTGTTCTCTCTCATGATTCCTCAGCTGACTCTAAAAAGTTGAGAGAAATTAATATGTAAGTTTTCAATAAAAATACACATCCAATTACTAGGAGGCTGTGGAAAAAGCAGCTAATTGCTTTCATGGCCTCCTACTGAGAACATATTACCAATATTTTTAAATAAAATCTGCTAAATGACCATTTGATTGACACATTTCACAATTTATAGAAAGAAATTCATCAGAAGGGTCACAATCGCATCACAAAGGCAGCTCCTCTTTTTATACTCTCTGAAAAAAGGAAGTTACCACTTCTTAAGAGGTGTTTATGCATAGCATAACATATACACATACTGGTAGGCCCAGAGCTGGCAGGAGCAGAGTGCTCAGGATAATGCAACACTTCTACAAAAATTAATTCAGTCAGTAACCACTAAACTTTATGCTAATTTCTGTCTTTAAACATCAAGCAGATGCATGAGAGGACCTAATTAGAACTGTTCCTCCAATGATATCCTCTTCTATTTCTACTCTACAAATCAAGAGTACGGCAGCAGCAAAAAAAAAAAAAAAAAAACTTCCAGAACTTGCCTTTATAGTCTACTTGGATATTCTCCTTGGAATTTCATTAGGGTAATTCAAGCAGCTGGATCTCTCAACATTTTTATTCTTGAATACCTTTCTTTTAACCACCAACTCTGGGTGATCTGACAGGAAAAGTCTACCTTCAGTTAGTCAATTAAGATATATTTTAAATTTTTACCAAATTTTCAGAGATTGAAGAAGTTCTAAACCAATGATTGATTCAACGGATGCACGTTTTCTTTACAAAAGAATGAGGAGCATTTCATACTAGCTGTTTCATTTAAGGTCAACAATAAGATGAAAATCAGGCAGCATAAATAACCCTTGAAAATTCCTTAAACTGCCCATTAAACATAGAGTATGTGACTTTATTTCTACCAGACTCTCTTTTAGTAAGTCTAATACAGCCCATTTTCCCTTTTGCAATGATATAAATCATTGTTCATTGTATAGCAGCTAATATAACTGACTTGCATTTGGGGGCCATGTAAAATGAGAAATACACATTTTTCTGGGGTTAAGTAAGTCAAATGTGTACATGACGTCAATCCACTGTATATACATTCCCTTGCAAATGAAAATCAACACTTTAAAAAGATATGCACATTAAAACACTGAAGTAGTAAATATAAAGACTATTAAGGAGGCAGTAAAATGGGGAACGAATTCTGGAGTGGAAACTATGAAGGCCTGGATTTCAGTCCCAACTTTAATACTATTTAGCTGGGATCCCTGGGGCAAATTATTAAACTTTTCTAGAACTCATTTTCCTTTTCTATAAGATGAGGTGGCTGGACTAAATTAAGAAAGTTCCTTCCTCACTCTAAAATTCTAAAATCCTCTGAAAGATTTCACTAACCAAGGCTTACCTTATAATGAAAGGATTCTTCACATTGTTTACATTGGTATATTCTTGTTTTACAGTGGTTGATCATGTGGCTCTCCAAATCTTTGCTGTTGTCAGCTATGTGCTCACAAATAGGACACTGATATGGCTGTCTCTGTCGATGAACTCGTAGATGCTGCTTGATGTAACCCTTGTTACCACTTGTATAGTGACATAGGCGACAACGGTAAGGCCGTTCAGCATTAGGGATATATTCTACCACATTGGTTCCCAACAAACTTGTATCACTGTTGGGTTGGCACTGGGCATTGTCCTGCAACTCTTTCAAAATGTCATCATCTGAAGCATTTTGATCTGTCCTTTCTCTCAATTTTTCAATTACAGTAAGTAGGGACATGCTGATGCCTGTCTTAACTTGTCCATCTGACAATTCCTGTCTACCCTCTGGAAGTGCTACCAAGGTAGAGTTGCTTTGGTTAAAACTAGTTAAGCCATCTGAAGAGTTTTTAAGCGGTGACATCATTTTTGAATATGCTGCCAATGGATTATCTACTTGCTTTTGTCCAGTATCTGGATCTAAGAGGTTTATATCCCCATAATGTCCAAGATTGGCTCTTGTTAGTTCTACAGCTCGTATAGGCATTGTGACAAGGGCTTCTGCAGCTAATGAATGTAGTCTAAGGGACTCAGAATTTGTCCTTCTTCGGCCAGGTGGGGCATTTTCATCAGTAGCTAAGCCTTTACTTATTAACTCACTGTCTTTCTTTTCTGGATTGCTCCAGCCTATGATCAACCCCCCAATGTCAACAGTACATTTGTCAGCATGATAAATGTCATCAGTTTCTCCACAGCCAGTCTGGGTTTCTGTTGGGTTCAAGTTTTTCCCTTCTTCAATTTCAGTATTCATGAGGAAATGTTTCTGTGAAAGTGTTTCTTCTGCACTTGGTAAACGCTCCACTATCACATTAACATGACCTTTCTTATTTGGGCTACTGCTGATGATTTTCTGTGCCGATGAAAGTAGGCTATCAGCAATCAGATTCTCCTCTGAATCAGAGATCACCTCTAGCATTTCTTCCTCATTAGGGTCAAGGGTAACTGACTGACTTAGGTCTACGCCCCCTTCTGCACTATGTTCTAAAGCAGATGAAGATGACGACAACGGTTCTGAGCTGCAAATTTGCACTTGTACTGATGGTCCATTGTGGATACTCAGTTCACTGTCTCCAATAGCAATGACTACTGCATCAACCCCACCTGGTGCAGCAGATACTGAAGAATCCAGCAAGCCGAGAGGCTCATTTTCATTTTCAAAGATTGGATAGGAGCAGTCAACTTCCCCTGCATGTTTCCAAGCATGTGTTTTCAACATTCTCTGCTGGCCACAAGTATAACTACAAAACAAGCATCGATACATGCCATATTGTTCATATGCATACCATTTCCTCCTACCCATTTCAGTCACGGATGAAGTTTGTACAGTATGAGTTTGCGAACTATCCACGTTTATTGGGATGTCAGGAATGGTTTCATTATTTCTTTCAGTGGTTCTTGGACATGAGGAGTTGGAGGGGCTTATGCACTGTTGGGCTTTGGACTGGATGTGACTATTGGCTTCATTTTCATGGTCATTTACCACGTGAGCTTCAAGCTCCTCTTGGCTTTTGGATGTAATATGGCACTCTGAGCACATTAATATCACTTCATTCTGCTGACCATGCTGCTTGATATGGTCTTTTAACACAGAAAAAGAGGATGACAGAAACTTACAAAGGCTACACTGGTAAGACATTGCCTTCCCATCATTCTGGGCAAGAGAGTCAGGTGTGAAATTTGCTTGAGACATCTCAGCCTTTCTAATGTCAGCAGCAGGTGACTGGGTTACTTTTGCTGGAATTTCACAAAGTTCTTGGGTTTCAAGACAGTGTGCTGTAGTATTTGAACGTGAGCGTTTTTTCCCAATCAGAAGACATTTTTGTGACTTTTCATGCTCCACTATCTTGCTTAACTTCTGTATAACATGAATTAATGGATCTGCTTTAGTTTTTCTTTGCTCATCGATTTCTAATGAAGGAGTGATGATACCTTCAGCCGTCAATATAGTTTCTTGTTCCCCTGTATCTGGCACCAACATGGCAATACTGCTGCTGTCTTCCATATCTAGAAGGATAACATACAAGAGTAAGAAATACCGGGTACAGGATAATTACAGGTATGTAATTCAGGAGATACATGTCAATTTTGGTGTCTAAGGTAATCTAAATATTTTCTAAGGTGGGAGTTCCACATCAATGTAACTAGCTGTCCCCAACACAGAGTTAAAATGCTTAGAATTCCACTTTGGAATGTAACCTCCCACCAAATTTGATGATGAAGATCTTGCCATCCTTTACATATTTCTCTGGAAATAACTTTAATAACCTTTATTTCCTTTTTTCTTCATCATGTTTGCCTTCGACATCAAGTTGGACCCAATCAGTTCTCTGTCCCTTTATGTACAATGCCAAAAACAAAAATAACACAGCCATTCTCAGAACCTGTGGAACCACCTCAAGTTACTGTGAAATGTCACTCTTTTAAGTCATATGTTTCCTGAAAAACTATTTCTTAAATCAAAATGTAGCTATAGACTTTTTTACTAAAATCATAATTTTTTCCCCTCCTTAATCTTTGAAATTATAAAAAAAAGCATCATGTAATAAAAGACACAGTGAATTTTGAGAAGTACTATGCAAATGAAACTAAATAAAAGCAATAACCCAGTTCCTTCTTTTACTTCCTTTGATTTATCATCCTGAAGATAAACCACAAACTATGCTGTGGTTTTTTTTCTAGAGGTTATATTAGTGGCCAACTATTACTCATACCCACATGCATGTTCTTTTTCCTGAAAGGGAAAGGGCCATCAGAGAAGGAAAAAGTTGATATCCCAGTTGTGCTTCAGGTCCAGAAATGAACAGAGTCCTTCAAAGGGCTTATCTGTAGGTCTTAATAATGCACTATGACCTCGGAAGCCTCTAAACATAAAATGCTCATAAATTTTTCTGCCTAAGACTCAAATACTCTTTATATTTCCTGGCAGTACTATCATTTTAAACATTTCCTTTGGCTTAAAGTGAGACTAATTTGTTGACTTGGATCACATTTTTAAGTTTAGGCTTTTTTCCAGCAACAAGTTTTGTTTTTCCACATTTAGGTGCATTCTGGAATCTTACTCACAACATACAACAAATGCCAGCAAAATTTTTAGTGGCACTAGCTATAGACCAAAGACCATGCTATTCTTAAACTTTAGTACAGACTTTGAGTTCTTATTTTAGTTAGTGAATCATGGCTCTTCTTCCCCACATGGCTGAATCAACATATAAAGGTCTTTCAGCCCCTTGCCAGAATCATACCTAACCCATCCTTCTAGACCTCTAACCAGCTTCAGTACTAGTTTGCCCATATCCACTTTGGCAGCAATTGCAACTTTCCCTCTTATTTTCTGTTCTTTCTGGCATACCAGTTTTCTATATCTAGGTCCACATCAGGCAAAAATGCAAACATTTTACTCTTGGCTTCTTTAGTATTCCTTCTTCCCTCCTTGCTAATACTCTGCCCTATGAAATCAGCTTTCTTCTTTTCAGGGATTGCTTCTAATCTGCCTCACAGCAGGGAGTGCATTTCACCAAGGGTACAACACTGACAGTGATCCCCTTCCCAAAGGCCAATGGGCCTTCAGCTACTCTCTCCCCAAACCAACTCTCAAAAGAATAAGTTTCTTTTCATCTTTCTCAGGTAGAAAAAACAAGTCTTTTTAGATTTCTACTCAACCTTAAGTCACTGAAGAGGAGACCAATGGGGGAATAATAGTTTCTTTGGAAAAACCCTTTGCCACTTCTTAAATCACTTTACTGCCTTAGAAATGCACATTTTTAGGCCAAGGGGAATTTTGGCTCTTCATGTGACCACTGATTTATTTTTTGGACCATTAACTTAAGGCTATATTTTTTTCAGTTCAATGGTTTCACGCAGTTACACAATATGTTTAATAATAGGAATCCCCAAACATTCAGTATCTTGGACAAGATATGGCTCACCACTGTAGACCAAAGGTCTCCTCCCTTGAAATGTAACATCCACAGAGGCTAATTGATAATCGGAAGTTAAAAGTGAATGTTTGCTCAATAGACTTGGCACACCTACAGTTACAAAGGTGACTCAGTTACCGTACTTCTACTTAATGACATAATAGGAAGGATACAGAGCAATGCAAATTGTTCCCCATGGATATTTCAGTGTGATCCTTGGGAAGAAAAAAAAAAAAGGAAAATAAAGAGAAGGAGGAGTTCATCTAATCTCAAGTCTAAAAGAATCTGACAAAACACTTAAAGCTATGTCTGCTCAGGCATTAGGAGCTAATGGAAATTTGCAGCAGATGCTCCAATTTTCCCTGAACATTTATATAAGTATCTCATTTTAGATGCTGCATACATTTGGGGAAAAGTACAGTAATGGCAGCTATAAAACAGATATGACAACATAAAATACATCAGGAAACACCTGAGAAACCAGTTTGGGTCCACATGCAAAATTAATACACAAGTCAAAACTCATCAAGACAAAAGTTGTTTAAAAAAAAAAAAAAAGGCAAAACAGCTCATAATAAAGTATACACAGAAGGCACATTACCTTAAAGCTGACCCTCCAAATTTTGACAAAAATTTTACTTAGACTACTCATGCAATCACATCTATATCTACCCATCTATATATACAACACATCAAACAAAGTAAAGTTTATTGGAATAAGAGAGATGAAAATAAGGAGTATATGTACAATCCCAGTGAAAACAATGACTATAATATGGATCACTTGAATACTATCCGTGAACTCTAAGAGATGGACTAAACACAACCTAAAAAAATTACCTGGATAGTGGAGGGGTGGGGAAGGTGGAGACAAAATAAAAATGACAACATCTGTGAGTGAAGTTGTGTGATGAGTGCCCAGAAGTTCAATATATTATTCTTTCCACTTGGGTGAATGTCTACATTTTTCATAATATAAAGTTATTAAAAAAAAAAAAAAGTTATGTGCAAAGCCCAACACAAAGTAGCAGGAAAAATGGAAACATTTGAAATTCATAGTACTCACAGTTTTAAACCAAACTGAGTGCATAAGACACTGAAAAGCTAAAAAGAATTAAGTAACAGCTTTTGAATGAAGTAATAATACACAGAGTAAAACTGACAGAGGGCAACAGTTAATAGCCAAATCCTAAGAGAGACAGAAGAGCTCCCCTGGGCTAGGAAGGTATGCAAAAGGCTTTTTGAAGAGGTAAGACGTACACTGGATCCCAAAGGATGGACACTGTGCAAGACATCATCCATTTGCCCTGTATCCCCCTCTCCAATCTGCATTCCGCCCAGGAGAGATTAAATCATTAGTCTTCCCTGACCTCTAGTTTCTGGTTGAATTCTGCCAATGGAGAGTCTTACAGATCTAAGGGATACAGGAGAATGAGAACAGGATATTCACTGTCCTAGATCCCTGCCTCTAAGTTGCCCTGAGGACTGTGTTCCTCAAAATAGCCACTTCTCTCCAGATAGGCTGCTCTTAAGATTCTGCTTCTGGTTCTGGGGCCTCTCCCTTCTCCTGATGCAGCTAGGCTCCCAATAACTGTTCTATCCCTGTGCTCTGCCTACATAATTCCAACACTTTTATTAATAGTATCTTTGTAAATATACCCTTCTTGCATTAATCTAATTTGAATTTGCCATTTTCTTCCTTGGAATACTTCTGATACAAGGATAAGATTGACAAGAAAGGCAGCCATAACATTATTATATTTTTAGAAGTGAGAATAAGCATGCTATCTAAGGGTTAGCAAAAAGATCAAAATGGCTGCATAGGAAGGTTCACTCTGAGGACAGAATACTAGAGGCATAAGCAAAACCCATTGCTTGTTTGAAATCATTAGAAATGATAATAGATCAAATATATCAAACTGTTACAAATAAAAAAAATTGCATCCCACACCAGAAAAGTTCTATAACCTTTTCCACAGAGTCTCTTAAATCTTTCTTTGACAATAGTAATTCTCAGGCAGAAGCTTAGAATTAATGTCTTACCCAAGAAAAGTTAAGAGCTAAATTATTTCCTTATAATTTGCTGTTTGGTTTATTTGTGTTTCTAATTAGTTCCTTTTAGTTATAGTAGTACAGTTATCACAAGTCAAATCAAGTTGAACAATGTGGGCCTGGAGAAAAGGCTGTAATTTTCTGTGTATATATAAAAACAGTACAATATGATATAAAGAGTCTTCTCTTTCACACTCAGAATTTGTCTTTTCCAACTAGAAAAAACATTGTGCAACAGAAATAAAAGCCAATTCCCTATTTTTTTCAGAGTCTCATAATTTAAAAATATAAAACATTTGTTTTGCTCCAGACAAAAGGAAGTAGGGGACAAAAGCTCATGTGTCCCTTCTCTATAGTGCCCTTAGTTAGCTGTGTGACTTTAGGCAAGTCACTATCTCTGTGGGTTTTAGATTATTCAGATATAAAACAAGAGGGTGGAACTGGAGAGACTTTACGGTCCCTGAACTATAAACTGCTTATAAATAGTTACTGGGAAACTGCTTAAACTTTATAGGTTTACCTTACTAATGTCAGCTATAATTTATATGACTTAAAATCTCCTCACACAATGTAATTATTAATTGTCACTTTGAAAAAAAAACTGAGTGTAAATATCACAAGTACATGAATTTCATAGTCTAGAATTCTTAGCTGGCAGCTAGCCTGAGAGAATATTCTAATTTGGCAGCTGCAATTAAGACATAAGGTCTAACTAATATTAACCAACATTCAGATTTACTATGATTTGTTGAGTACCTATAATGTGCCAAGCATAGTGCTGGAGACTATAAAAATGATTAAGAGGAAATTCTTGTCCTTGAGGTACAAGTCCAGGGAGTAGTGCCTATGCAGATTTTTCTGTGATGCTCATGTATTTCCTGGTAATACTAGCCTTTTTTTTTTTTTTTTTGCAGATGAAGAACTTCAAAGATGTAAAGTAATACATCTGAGGCTCACAGATATAAAGTAACGAATGGTTTAAGAACTGTAAGAACTGGAATACAGCTGAGTATGGCAGTATATGCCTGTAATTCCAACAGCAAGGGAGGCTGAGGCAGAAGGATTGCAAGTTCAAAGTCAGTCTTAGCAACTTAACGAGACCCTGTCTCAAAATAAAAAGCATATGTATTTTAAAAAAGAGCTGAGGATGTGGCTCAGTGGTTAAATACATCTGGGTTCAATCCCTGGTACCACTCCTTCTCCCCCCCAAAAAAAGAGAAAGAAAAAGAAAGAAAGATCTGGAATCCAGGCAGGACAATCTTATGCTTTCCCTAATACAAGTTTCCTCTCAACTTTCAGTGAGAACATAAATGCATAAAGTTATTCATACTGAAGAGTAACAGCCTCTCACAGCTAGGCTGCAAACATGTTAATGTATTTGATCCTCATAACTCTTTGGGACAGGCTAGGTGGTGTTATACAATTTTATAAATATGGAAACTCAGTGAGGTTTAAGTGACTTACCCAAGGTTACATGGTTGTTAAGTGGCAGAGCCAGTGTCTTTCAAATCAATTTCTGAAATTAATACAGTCCCTTGGATCAATCTTCAAAATCCAGCTGTGGCCAAGAATGAAAGTATACAGTATCAAACATTTCTCTTTTTTGGTGAAACAAAGTAATGATTAATTTGGGCAGTGAAAAATTTTCCAATACTCCATGTCAAAAAAGAAATTTAGAATAATATTCATGCAATCTGATTATGTGATGCAAGTTTACATAATTCAACAAGTAGACTTGAGGATTTTTCAGAAGTTAGGAAAAAAATAGCTCTGGAAACTTCTCCCAATTAATTGTATATTTCCTTTTACCTCAGACTGTATGTAACTGACTCAACACACTGCTGGTCTTACTGACATCAATATGGAATAATAAGTTTCATATTGCTATTTTAACCTTAACCAAAAATACAATCTAAAGGATGAGTACGCAAATTTTACAAGCACAGCGGGCAGAATGGCAGCATGAAAAGATATGACACAACGGCTTGACCTATATAGGTCTTTCTAATGTCATTTCCTACCCTGGTCCTACATTTCTTTGCTATTGCTTCTTATGCTAGCTGGTATGAACCTAAGAGTCAAAGAATGATTATGGGTTTCATCTAGAAAGCGACTAATTTATTGATTATACTTAAATAAAATAGTTCACTGCTGGGGGAGAAAACATGTTTTCAGGCCTCCTCTGAAGTTAATTTTTAACGAGTTACTGTGATAAAAAAATGAAGGGCCAGACTTTCTCCTTTAATCAATGACACAACCCATTCACTGAGTCAGAGTGGAGTACTTAAGAAAGTACAAACTCAAAGAGGTGATAAATCTGGTAATTGCCTGATAAGAGCATTGTAGATGAATAGCGAATTTACAGCCCACAGCAGGAACTAAAAAGACAGCCTTCGGGTTGGGAGGGTAGACTTTGCCCAATTAATCGTCCAGGCCTTCCACACAAACCATGCACTCCGAATGCCCCCAGGTCTTAAAAGGTGGACACTTTCCCCAATGATCTGGAGAGATCCTTCCATTGGGATGATAAGTGCCATAGGCCAGAACTGCTGTTTCTGTACTAGGCTGTTATTACACCATGCAGTGCCCAAAGGGCTGAGGCGATTGGGGTTGAGAAAAGTAATCAAGAGATGCGGCAAGAACAGTAGTTAGCTCCATCCTGGCTGGCTTAAGCGATATTACATTTGCACAGGGAAGGAAGCAACGCCTCAGACAGGCCTGCCTGGGGGCGCCAAGCTGGAGACCGTATGCGGGCAGCGGCAGGTTCCCCCACCCCCAGCTGCAGGGCAAGGCCGGGGTCTCCGCAGGCCTTCCTGTGGACGGCACAGAGGGCAGAAAGGGGACATGGAATTTGGGCCATGGGGCAAGCACCGGGAGGGTGTCAGCCGGCTGAGGAGGAAGCGGACGCCGGTAGAGGCCTGAGGGGAGGATGCACATGGCCGGCGGCGGCGCTAACAGCGAGCGGAGGGGCGGCCCCGGGGCGCCGTACCTGCGGTCGGGCGGCGGCTGCTGCTTCCGCGAGCCTCTTTTGGCCGGCCAGGGCCCTGCCGTGCCCTTGCCCGCGTCCTCGCCCACCTCTCTCCCGGCTCTTTTCCCTCTTTTCCCCTACTTTCCCCCTCCTCATCCAGAGCTCCAAGATGGCGGCGCTGAGGCCAGATCACGTGAGCCGCAGGCAGGTCAGGTGACCCGAGTGGCGGGCGAAGGGGCGGGGCAACGGCCAGGCCCCGCCCTCTGCCGCCCATGGCCGCGGGGGCCAACCGGGTTATCCGGGCGCAAAGAGGGTATCACCTGGTTCGCTGCGGCCTCTGAAACGGCTGCGGGTTCTGCCGGCGTGGTCCGGTTCTCAGGTCCCCTGCCCTGCTCTATCAGAAGCTCTCTAGGTCTAGAAGTCGACGCGTGTTCTCTTCGGAGCCTTCCCACGTGGCCTAGATCTACTGTGGGCTAACTTTATCACCCCACCCTCCCCTTAATTCGCATTCAACCATGGGCATTGACATTCTTTTCACCCCTGTGACCGTGGATTTGTGTTGTTTCTTCTGGTTGGGCTATACTTCTTGGCTAAAATATAGAGGTCCTGGCTAGGACTGTGACTTTAATTCAGGTGTGCCTGCTGAGGGACAATCCTGGGGAAATCTATTTGCTTCAGAGAATGTTCCAGGGTTGTAGGATCGCAATTGATAAACTCTGACCTGGTAACACAACCTTAGCTCTCTGAGGGCATGATACCATTTGTCATTTAGATCTGTTTCAAGAAAAACCATGGTGTAAACAGCGTTGTTGGGGTCCCCCTGCTCACATGATAACAACTTCACCAAGGGTACTAGGCAGTTTTGGTGGATTAGGAATTATGCAGGCTGAATTCTTGGGTCTAGAGTCAGCAGATGGGCCACAGACACAGGGGGCGAAGTAAAACTGAAGATTCTGCTCACAGCAATGGACTGGACTTGTTTGGTGAGATGTCTTTTGGATACTTCCTGATATATTTAGAGGCCTTTATGAGCAGGATGGGCTGTCAAGTGAGTACATAGGGAGAAGACCCCAAATACACAAAATAATAAAATTTATAGTCATTGTTTACATTGGTCAATAATTTAACTTACTGAATCTCAGGATACAAATACACCTGAATTTGAGTGTTGGGAAACCCACAAATGAAAGAAAGTAAATATGTCTTTGTCTGAAGTTCCAGGGATCATTTCTGGTATTTACTGGCTATTTTCCTTTGTTTCTCTTCCAGCACATGCTGAGATGAACTTGCTGTTGCTCTTCTGTTTTGAAGGTGTGACCTATGTCTGGTATGGGCTAATGAACTGTATGTGGAAGTGAGGGGCATCACCCCTATACTGGAGCTTTTAATTATCCGTGTACTCCTTTCTGTCTGGTTTGGAAATTGACAATGTCACTCTGTCAGACTGTATCTTAGAGTGATGGTGATGAGCTGAACTCATAGCTGATCAACGATAAGAACCTTGGGTAAGCAAGTCACTGAGGTTTTGGAGCTATTTGTTACAGCAGCATGGTACAGCTATTGCTGGCATTCTCCACTCCAGGGAAGCAACTGGAAAAGGCAGAGTGTTACAGGCAGAAAGGAATGTTAACAAAAGAATTAGGAGCAAGGTATAAGAAGCAGAATCTGATAGAAAAACCTAGGCAATTTTTAAAAGCCTCAGTATTTTTTTTTTCCTGCAAAAGAACTCTCCAAAAAAAAAAAAAAATCACAGTAAACAATTTTAAGTCAGAGGAATGAAGAGACATTCAGGTGTAGTTCAATTGAACTTGTGGATGTCTCATCTAAACTCTTCTCAGCACCTTCCACCTGCCACAGAACATTATTTATCATGATTTAATTAACCAATCATAGTAAGATTTAATGTTACAGATAGGAAACTTGCTTACTCGGTTATCTTGTACCTATTCAGTGGAATCTGATTCTGTTTCCAGATGAGAGATGACCCAGATAACTGAATCCCTGTCTCCACACACCTCATTATTCTACTTTGGGGCCATTAATTAGTTGATAAGGTTAAAGGTTTCACTTCTTCTACAAGTATCATGGGTCTGTATCTCCTAAAGTAGCCAGATAGTCTGATAATACATATTGCTTTACAACTTAAACCAGAGCTCTGTTTAAATTTTGGGAACACAAAGGATAGCACAGTAAGTAAGTTGCAAGGTGGTAACTGGCCATAAACTGAATGGGTCACTAAACCAGTTGAAATTTAAGGGAGAGCTACCTGTTTCCAGCCCTCATACTTATGAAGGACACCTTGTCTTCAGTGTAAGAAGATTAGATGAGATTTCTTTGAAGAGATTAATCATGTAAGTCTTTGGCATAGCACAGAAAATTGGATGAGACATGTAGCCTGTATTTCTTTTAGCAGTAATTTTTATCATGACCTTTAAAAAATATACTGCCTTTAAAAAAAAAAGGAAAGATGGAGGAAGGGTTAGAGGAGACAGGTAGGCTGCTAAAAGAGAAAAGGACATAGTAGTGTGAGCTGCAAAAATAAACTCAAAAATTATTCCAGACTTTGCTATTTAGCTCCCATGGGGACTGTGAGCAGGTGGATTCCATCTTTCTGATGTTTTCACCTTGCTTGTAAAACAAGAAATACCATTTATCCTTTTTTTTTTAAAGCATCAACTATCTTATATATAGAAGTACAGAGTTTAATTATAGGAGTTTTCTGGGTTCAAAATGGGACTTCGTTATTAAAAATAATAGCAAGACCTGATTTTATTAATGAATGAAAAGATTGCTTGATATAAGTCAGAAGGAATGTAAGATTAAAAGACATGATATATTATTATATATACAGCTGTCAGCAATAAATTAACATTAACTCTGGATTCTGTACACTTTGCATCCTGAATATACACCTAGAAATACTTCATAATTATAGTTCAGGTCTCAAGAATCATCATAAATTATCCATCTGTCATTCATTCCCTGCTAAAAGCCACAGACCTACGTTATTCTAGCAGCATATTGATATCTAAAATCCCTAGTGCTACGAGGCACACATACAAATTTATTTATTATTGAAGGCCCGGATAAACCAGAAGAATACACAGCAACACAGCAACCATCTATGACAAGGAATAAGAGGAGAAAGAGCAGAAAACTCGATTGTGAGAAGTGGGGTTTGCTCTAACAGATATCAGTCTTGTGTAAATTTCAGCCCTGTTGTTTTGGGTCTGAGATACTAACTGGTTTGGAAAAGGCCCACAAAGGAGCTTGGATAGCCCTGCAATCAAGGTCACGATAGAATTCAGTCTGAAATTCTCCTAGCCTTGGGGCTCTGCCTTATGCTCAGGACCTGGGCATGAGGACAAGAATCAATGGTGGTGACATCTAGTGGCATATCTGGAATGTGCAGTCAAACCGCAAAGCACTCCAGTGGGAAGTGGGACATTTGCCTTGTCCAGCTAACCCAGGCTTGACCCTGAGGTCCCTGAATCAGTCTGAGTTTGGTTTCTGGCAGAGATTCCCTGAATGCATGTTGATTTATGGTTGAGATCCAGGAAATGCAGCAGCAGGCTGGGAGTGGAGGTGGAGAAGGGCTGCTTTTGGGGACGACAGGAGGCTCCTTTCAGTCTAGTCTGCATATGCCACAGACTTGTGCTGCAGCAAGCGTGGCTCAGCGGAGCTGCGCGATGGAGCAGGGAGCTTGCCTCCGCCAGACTGTCTCTCTGCTTCAACGCAGACTGGTTATTGGAACGCTCAGGCAATTTTCAGTCGTCTTTGTCAATAAAACCAGTCTCTTCTCTGCAAGGGGAATGAAAATGAGATTCGGAGGCCTCCAAAGGGCTCTTTTCTTTTGCCACTTTATCTGCCCAGGATCCAGGTAGTAGCTCAGCGGAGATGGGTGGTAGCTATTTGCTATGCCCCAAACCCTGTTGACAGGTAATACCCCCTGCTTCTGAAAAAGACAATCTGATTGTAATAGGATACTGTTAAATTCTCCCCAGAGAAGAAGCAGTTTCCTTAAAGCAGTGACCTTTATTGATGAGAAGTTCCAAGGAAGAAAATGAAAAGAAGAAGAAGATGGTGAAGAAAGACACTAAGAGCAGAAGTAACTGCTAATCAAACCCAGAGAGCCTACCTAAAGGGTAACCACGTGGCTTAAAAATATGTCATTTGTTATTTTGACATCTTGTCTTTAGGTGATAGACTAGGAGGAGCCACTCAGTGGGACTAGAGTACCACTTCTTGCTTTTAAAGGTATCAGGAAATGGATAGATAACAAGAGATAGCAAATAGTCTTGGAAGATAGAGGACCTTCTATGGTCTTCCAGCTTTGAGTTTCTCAGATACCATGGGAGACCAAGCACAGGGAACATTGTATAGTTCTTGACCTCTTGGGATTTTTTTTTTTTTACTGATAAAGAAACATGAATGAGAAAGAGAAAAAGAAGGTGAGATGCATGTAGTACCTACAGAAAGTCCTCGCTGCAATATTCATGCCCTTTGGGACCTCATTATAAGCTCCATCAAGCTATAAGGCCAGAGGACCCTGCTGGAAGTGGCATTTCAGTGTCAGGTATGAGTAGGGCTGTGGGGTGCAAGGAAGTTTATGGACAGGTGACTAGGCTCCTGTGTCATCTACCCCACTTGCACCCTTCTCTTTCATCTCACACCTTTGGGTCACATGCAGGGAGACACCTATGGTCAGCCAGTGGTAGGAAGAAGCCCGAGAAAAGCTCAAGAATGGGTCAGCTTGGAAGAAAACGGACCAATAAGAATGAAGGTGTGAAGTGAGGGTAGACATAGGGCATCTATCTGGACAGTGGAGACCCTTCTGGAGGGCTTGGAGTGGGGAGCAGAGAGAGCTACAGCCAGAAGGGCATGTTGGAGCTGGGACTGGACCAGGCAGAGACAGGCAGTGAGCTCCGTGGAGGGCCCTGTGCTAGGGGCCCTACGTGCATTATTTCACACATCTTGGTGCACTTAGCTCTGCTGTCATTAATTACCAGTGCAATCACTGCATTAACATCTTCCCAGTAGGCCCAGGGAGCTTGTCAGTCTTACTCATTGATATTCCCCTTGGCCTAGAACAGGGTCCAGAATGAAGCTACATTCAGTAAATACTTGGTGAGTGAATGAAAAAGTGATTTCATTTAGCAGACAAGCTCCCAGGTAGGT